TCTCAGTTTCAGAGGAGGTGTCATCGGAATCAGACCCAGAATCAGAATTATTATCAGAAGAGTTAGAATCTGAATCAAAACCAGAATTATTTATAGCCATATTAATCTTACCTTTTTTATTCTTGCTAGATCTCTTGGAATTCTTAGATTTCTTTCTAGAACACTTACGAGAATTGTGTCCGGTTCTATTACAATTTGAACAACGGTGTTTGGATGATTTAATAATAGCATGAACTCCTGCCTCAAAACCTTTCGACAAAGCCTTATTTATTGATAACTTACCCATACGATCAGCGAGTTCTTCATCAGAGTCCACTTCAATATTTTTCTTTGATTGCACTGGCTTTGCCGAAAACATATCTGACACTTTTTTATAAAGATCATTAGCTAAAGATTCTATAATTCAGCTGGCTAAAGGAGTTGGGTTTATAAGATCACAATGAATAAATTTTTCAGAATTTGCGCCATACCCATCTGGTGGTCTTTCTGGCATATATTTATCTAGTACTCTAAGGTAGTCACTGAAATCGGGTTGCTTTTGCTGAGACTGTAAAGCTTGTGTTTTCTGGAGCTGTAAAGACTGAATAGAAGAAGTTGGTACTAAAGCTAATTGTGATTTTATCATATTATCTAGTTCAGCTCGAGATATACTACTACTATCAGAATGTGATTTATTTTGTATATTAACAGCTGAAGTTTGAGAGATTTGGTCAGGAATGGAGCCTTTATACAAATTTGGAGGACGTTCTAACCACATATTTTTAAGTTCTGTAAAAAATGCATCAATGCCACCGGAGTTAGCGATTTTCATCCAAGTATAAAGCTCTCCTGATAAATGACCCTTAAGAAGTCCTAAGATATTGGCATCACCATCAGCAACCTCTAATAAAAGAGGACGGATTCTAGCCTCATATGATTCTGAATTATCAAAAGGTAAGAATTTTTCTTGTGCTAATCTTTGAGTAGCAACTTGTTGTGTTCCAACTGTCTCTGTCTGATATTTATGACGCAACCAAACAATAAAATGAGCTGGAGTATCAATATTTGTACCTACAGGGTATTGTGCAGGTATATTTGTATATTTTCCAGCCATCTTACTTTTTAAAATATCTGCTCAAAGTGCATTATTAAAGGCACCCGCCATAATTGATGGTAAAGTTAATATTTGATTAATTCTTTGATACCATTCATCTGGTGGAATCTGTCCACTATAATTTGGAATCTGTGCAATTAATGGTGCAATACTGGTTAAGTCTCCTGCAACTGTCACCATATTTGGTGGGTTATATTGTAGTGCTAAAATTTGTTGATTTAAATTATTAATTAATTGTTCAGAATTTCGTGCCCGAGTTTTCTACTTACCCCACTTGTTGTCCAGTTGAACATCGGCAAGTAATAGATCATTTTCTAGAGTCTTGCATTTATTTTTCCAC